GTCCGGTCAGGTAAGGAACCCCCCGTCGCCTCCTTGGGGGCCCCCTCGCCAGCCCGGTCTCTCCCGCTTGCGCCCTGGTTGCGAGTGTCCCTGGCTGGGCCGGGGGCACAGGGACGTGGTGCTGGCCCCTTGGTCCCTGCGTGGGGAGAGGGGGTGGCTGGGCTGGGTTTGGCTGGGGGAGGTTCAGAGCAGACTCTGCCCCGCGGCGCTTGCTGCCGGCTTGGGGCTGCGTTCGGAGCAGCCCCGACCTGTGGGCTACGGCAGCAGGGTTGACTGCGGGGCTGGGGCCTGCTTTTCGTGAATGCCTTAAAAATAACAATATGACAGGGATGGACTAAGGACATAGAGATAAGAGTACTCAGTTTCCTTTGTATGCAGCAAAGTGATGGCTCAGTTCACGGAGGAAACTTTTAGACTTTACTGCTCCTTATCTTAGCAGAGAAAAGCTCTCATCTTGCTTCGCCAGCTCTCTTCGGCTGCGTTCAGATGCTGAAGCACTGGGCAGTGCGTTGCTGTTTGGACACGCGCCCTGGCTTTTGCACCCACAGGCTGCAGAAGAAAAAGCGTGTCTCTGTGATCTAATCGGTCCCAAGCCAAGCGCTAGCTGAGGTTAGGGCCTGTTTTCTTGGTGTAAGCTTGGTGGTTTCCATAGAGAGCCTTTTGTTTACACTGGTTTTAGGAGCCAAAGGCATTGCGAATGTCTTTTGTACAGCTTAGGGGTGTGTGTAGGGTGAAATCAAATCATTGGAGGAGAGGGGAAAATGTCTATTCGTTTTAGGTACTGTTTAGGTATGTTATTACTATTTAAAGAAATAAAGCAATGTTGTGGAGTCATTGTGCAATTGCCTGGGGACTGGAGAAGTGGAGATGAGCGAGCAATGGCTTCTGGGTCTGAACCCTGTGATGGGAGAGAAAGCAAGGGCAAAACTAAGAAATTGCTGCCTCCTGAGTGGGAAAGGGCAGGCCGTGAGCCGGACCTCTACTTACGTTCTTGGAGAGGGCATGGCCTTCATGCATTGCTTACTGATGGGTTTGTCAGAAGTTTCTAAACATTTTTTTGCCAGAAACAGGGAGCAGATCCTGGGGGAAGGATCTCTCTTTTATTTGCCCCATTTCTTATGCTTCTTCAGTGTCATTGCCCAAGAGAGGGCACTGGGTGAGGTGAACCTTTGGTCTTAGTGGATGTGGCAGCAATCGTTCCTCTTCCGGCCAGGCTCTGTAGCCAGTGAAAGAGGCTGGCGTGAGGAATGAGGCTTTTCTTCTTTTTATGAGTCGCCTCTCTGGAAACAGTCTGGTCTGTTGAAATGAGCATTAGCTTCCTGGTCTGTAAAATGGGGCAGCGGTACTTGGTGTGGCTGGCTGGGGAATTAACTAGGTCAAATATTAATACAATGGCTGCTGGTTTCAGGTACTGTAGTTGTAGGGAGTTCAGCTAAAGATGTGCCAGGTTGTATTTTTAGGGTCATTAAGCACATGCAAATGTGGAGGAAGGTGCTTTGTCCCCTTTGAAAACCGGGCCCTCTGGGGATGAAATCTTGGACCTCTTTTGCCGAGGTCAGCGTACATGTTTTGAAGGAGCTTGGAGCGGGGAGTCTGAGCTGGGTGAGATGTTGGCCAGCGAATGTTAAGTCTGTGTTTGGGCTAGTGGGAGAAAGGTGGGAGCCGAATGAGTTGTTTTCTTACCATATAAAACTGGATGCATCCTTCTTTGTGTCTTCACTTCACCTTGTCCACTGCATCCTCAGGGCCTCCCCTTTTGAAAATGAAGAGCACCCGTAGCAGTTCCTCGTTCCAAGGTGTCAGTTCTGACAGCGTGGACTTGAGCCTAACAGGCCTCCCTGTGCAGGTTACACGGCGCCCGAGCAGCGCGTCTCCTGCCAAGCACATGGCCCGCTCCATCTCAGTCATCACTGACAGCAAACCAAAGAAGAATGCTCTGGTGAGTCTTGGGGAGAAGTCCTTCATCCCAACCCTTCCTCTAGGTAGGGTGAGGAGACGTGTGCGCATAGGCAGGTATATGACATATCTTGATGCACTTTTACTCTCTTGGTTGCTGAATGTCTAACTGCGGGTGTGCTTCCCCATTGCACTGATTCTGCAAGCCGAGTTTTGAAATGCAGTCTGGGGAGGGAGGTGCTGCTGAGGAGGGCCTTGCGGTCCCCTATGGAGCACATGGCACTGCTGCACATTCATCAGAGAGCAGCCAGATCACCTTCAGGGAAGGAAGAGTTAGACGGGTCCAGGTGCTACCTAGACCTGCAGTGTGTGGGTGCTGCACTGCTGTGTTCTCTCTCTAACTACATGGTAAAAGCCTTGATTATCACCTGCTCGTTAGGTCTCTTCTCAGCCCTTCTTATGTAGACAGAAGGGCAAGCAGTGAAAGCAGCCAACTTCACACGCCTCTCTTCTCTTCCTTGCTCTCCACCTCCCTTCCCTGATTTCCTTTTGGAAACTCTCTTGAGTTCCTGATATCTTCTGCCAAATACTGCAGTGCTTTCAAGCCCAATCCTGTGCTTTGCTGAGCACCCTCTGTTCTTGCTGAGGTCAGCGGGAGTTGAAGATTCTCGGTGTCTTGCAGAATGGGAACTTTGAGTGTTTTTTCAGCAGAGTGAAAGAGCCCCAGGTACTTACTGGGCTCTGTAAAAATTCACTAGCGGAGAAAAAATCCTGCTGGCTTGGCACTCTTCCTTAGCATTTATTCCCAGGACAGGTAATAAACACAGCCCTTCTCTGCTGGGGGACTTAAAACAAATGAATGCGTTTCTGCTTGCTCAGCAGCTACACAGGAGCCCAAGAGGGAGCTGGGTGTAATTCCACTCTCTCTCAAGGAGAGGTTAGCAACCATAGGAATATCAAAAACATCTTATCTGTGCTCAGTAGAAGGGGGTGGAAGGGTAGTACCAACAGCAGTGCTATTTTAGGATGCCTTACTCAGCTGGGGGAGCCTGCCTAGTCCAGGCATCCCAGCTCTGTCTGATCCCGATTCTCTTTAAAATCACTGCTGACTATAACTTTCTACTCCGCAGGAAGATGCGGGATCCCGGGCAATTAACAACCTCCGGAGATCCAATAGCACCACCCAAGTTAACCAGCGGGTGAACAGAACGCTCAGGTACAGCTCCAGCCATCTGTGTGTGTCACTTTGTGTGAAACCCCACTGTTCTGTCTGACACCTCTTGTCCTGTGAGGGAAACGGACCCTTTCTTAACTGTACTTTAACAAATTCTGTCATGTACGTTGTGGGTTGTAGCCTGGCCATGGAGATCCAGGGTCTGTGTTTTTGCGGGGATGTCACGTGATTAGAATTTGGGGAAAGAGAGTGTATTTCTGTGAGTGGGAAGCCCCTGTCACAAATGACACCCAAATTAATTCTGAGGGATGGGACTGTTCACTTAAAACAGCCCCTCGTGGACCCTGCAGACCATAGCCAAGGTGGGGAAAGGAAAGTTGTCCTGGCAGTCGTCAGTCTTCCAGGTACGGTCCCTGCTGTGCTGGAGGCTGCGCAACCGCTGATGTATCTTAAGATCTTCTAGGGGTGGGAACATCAAGTATTAGGAGAAGAAAGTTCTCCTTTTGCCTCCAGTGACTTTGTAGGTTCTGTCTTTAGATTGTGATTTTCTGTTCCCTCTTGTTTCCTTGTGCCCATCCCTTTATGTATTCTATCTCTACGTGTTATGCTGAAGCGTAAAGCTTTATGTAAAAACTAATAATTTACAGATTTCATGACTATGTAATGATTCTCCAGCCCTTTTTCTTCCTTTGTCTTGAGACCGGCACTAGGTATGTCTCAGCTTTATCAGGCCGCTGCTGTGTGTATTGTCAGTCTGCTCTGTTGAGATCAGAGCATGCTTCTTGCTGAAACCGTCTGCTGGGGCACTGCAGTGTGTGCAGAAAGAGAATCCCGGCGGTATTGTCTTGTTGCCGTTTGTCTGCATCTCACGTTAACTCCAGCACGTGTATTTTCCCCTTCTTTCTGCCTTCCTTCGGCTTGGGCTAAAGCCCAGAGCAGACAGGAGACTTCCTGACCTTCTTTGACAGCAGTTCTGGTGGAAGAAAGAAACTGGCGAGTCTGAGCAAAGCCTCCCCAGAGAAAAAATCGACATGGAACATCTTGGTAAGGAGGATGGTCTCCCCAGGTGCTGTGGTCTAAGTCCGGCTCTCCTTACTTGAGGAGTCAGTTGGTTTTGGTTTGGTGGGTGAGCCACGCGAAGGTTCTCCCCTGGATCTGAAGATGGGGGTGGTACACTTTGTCTGTGACGGCCATCCTGGTCCTTCCTCAGCCTGCAGTCAAAGCTGGCATGGTGTGAACAGCCAACATGTTCCAAGTCATTGCTCTGGCCTGTTTTGACCGTGGGTCTTTGTGTCTGGCCCAGTATTTTTGGTCCCCTCACCTCCATGCTCCTGGCATGTGGTGAGGGAGGCAGGAAGTGGTTCAGGCAGTGCCTTGAGGCTGCAGGAATGTGGAACAGACATGTTTTTTGGTGCGAGGGAGAAATTGGCTTGTGGAAGAAAACCGTGTTGTTTGAAGAAGTTGGTTTGGTGCTTGCATATGCTTAATACTTGCTAACTCCATGGCAGGATGATCAACCACGAGCGTTCCCTGGCTCATCCGGCACACATGGCTCCGGCACCCTTGAGCCACCGGCAGGCATGAGGAAAAAAGAAGCCACTGTGCTCCTGGCAGCCAATTTCACTGCCAACAACAGGTAGGAGGAGCAGTACTGAACCGGGAGCCCTATGGGCTTGGTGTTAGGAAGAATTAAATTGAAAAAATACCTGGGCAAAGGAGGTGGTGCTGGTGTTCTGTCTCTGCCAGGATATCAGGGTCAAATGTAGGGCAGGCGGATGACAGTTGTGTGTGGCTGGGCTGGCGAGGACATGTCTGGAAGTTGCACAGGAGGTTGACTGATGTGTGGGAAGAGCGAGGCCACTCTAACTGTAGGAAAGGGAACAAGTAAGACTTGAAACCTTCAGGGCTAGGAGAGACTTGAGCAAAGACCGTGGGTTTAAAATGGCCTGAAAGGCAGGCTCTGTTACATCTGCCCAAGCTGGGCCTGTCTGGTGTCTGCCTGTGTCACGTGACAGCTACAGAGGAGCAAGCTCTAGGGAGCGAGTGAATTGCTTGTGAGGACTCCTCTGCGTTTTGCCTTCAGATTGAGCAAGTCCTTATGCCTTGTCCTCTCTCCACAAAAGGAGCAACAAGGGCGCGATGGGCAACTGCGTCACCACCATGGTGCACAACAACTACTCCACCACTGATAAGGGGCCTGCACCCAAAAGCTCCAACCAAGCACCGAGCTCCCTCAAGTAAGTGGGTGAGGTCCTGCTTTGTGCAGAATTTCAAGGCTGCTTCACCCTGTGTCCGTGTGGGCCAATCCCGTTCACTGTGCAGATGTGGCACAGAACAGGGCAGGATGGTACCAAGTAGCTTCCTCTTCTGCCTTAGCAATGTTATCAAAGCAGCCTCAAATGAGGACAACGAAAGCAGCAGTTTCATGAAGTCTCAGAAGAATTTCTCCAGCAACAACATCATGACCCACAACAACAACAGCAGTCTACTCCGGAGGAAGGAGGTGACTGAAGAAGAGGCGGAGAGGTGAGGCAGAGCTGGTGCGTGATGGCTGATGAGAAGAGATAGGAGGGCAGCGCCAAATTAAAGGGCGAGCTTGGGAGTCGAGAGCAGGGGAGCTGGTACCGGTTTGTACCTGTCCTGTGGGGCTCTAGCTTCTGGAACAGCTCCTCACCTGCATTGGCTGCTGAAGGGTTGTGTTGCTGTACCCTGTCTGCGCCTTGGCTCTGTTTTGAGTTCTTCTCATCAAAGGAGCAAGTTCCTCCTATCCCAAATATCAGCCTAGGAGAAGGCCTTGTTGAGTCAGAGCGTAAGGAGGCCAGTACAAGTCCTAGTGCTGTGGGTGAGCAGTCCCTCGCCCTCCTGCAGCAGAATGTGATTGTCCTGCCAGGCTCTGGTGGCTGAGGAGGGCCTTGGGGCCCTGCTGACCTTTCCCTTTCTTACAGGTTCATTCAGCAGGTGAATGTTGCAGCTGTAACTATCCAACGCTGGTACCGACACCACTCACAAAGGCACAGGATGGGAGCAGCTGCTCTGGGGCGCCTGTTGGCTTCCAAAAGAGAGGTGTGTCTCCTGGCTTGTAGCTTAGGCCCTTTTAAAACTAGATGTCTTGCTTGTTTCAGTGAGGGAGGAAAATTAGTTCCTTTAGTCACCAGACAGTCCACCCAAGAACTGAGCTGTTAGAGACAAGGGGACTTTTACATTGCATCTAGCCAGCCTCTCGCAGTACTGAGAGATGGAGGAGGTCCTGCTAATTACATGTAGCTGTCACTGCAGTGAGGGACTGACTGTGTAGGTGGGAAACACTAGTATTGATTTCGATGTGAGTTCGGGCTGTGAGCCCCTGGGATGAGTGCTGCATGTCTCCATTGTATTTGTTGCCTTTCCTTTAGCTGCAAGCAGACAGTTGGCAGTAACAACAGTAATCCCGCTGAATTCTTGCTGTCTTGGACACTCTCGTGGCCAAAGGAGGGATACCCTGTCTCAGCTCATTGTAGCAAATCAGTAAACAGTTGGCTCATTAGAAAGTGACGTGTCGTCTGCAGCTATTTGTGTTCCTTTGTATTTAATTATTTATCCCAATAACAAAAAGTGCTGGAGCTCTTGTATGTGCAATTCTATTTTTAAGCCTTGTCTCTTCAGTGGTTTCAGACCCAGATGACAAATAATTGCATTTAATGTCTAAAGAAAACAAGCTGTCCTAAAGTGGAGTTTTTCTGAGGGCAAGGAGGGGAAGGTTGGAGAGGGGATGGAAAGCCTTCTGGATATGGGGTGACTCCAGGTGTGATGCATCCTTTTCCACTTCTCTGCTGCAGGTGGTGGGTGCTGGAGAGTTCTCAATAACATTGTTTTGATCCTTCTGTCTGGAAGGAAAGGCAGCAGCAGATGGAGGAGGGGAACATTCTGGATTTGCATGAGAAAAAGGATGAGGAACGTCGGAAGATCCGAGAGGAGAAAGCACGCCTGGCCCGACGTGCTGCTGTCCAGGTAGGGATGAGGCAAGGGCATTGTGGCCTGGCTGAGACCAGTCTGTTGACTGTCTTTGTTTGTGAGACAGTGAAAGGGCCTTTTCTCTGCGTCTTTAGGGCTTTGCAGAAGCAGAATGGAAATGGAGTGTTCCCTGTGGAGAAGGAGGTGCCATAGAGCAGTTTCCCTTTGTGGTCCTGCCAAGGCTTGGCAGCTCATTCAGAGCTTGTGAAGACGATGCTGGTTTCGATCTAGTTCTTGGGGAAAGGGTGACCATGCTGAAAAAGGGAGACTGCAACTGCAGCTCCTCGGAGCAGTTAAGGAGGAGAGAGGCTCAGGAACAGAACCGTCTTTGGGAACAGGATCCCTCCAGGGTGGCTGGCGAGAGGGCTGACCCCTGCTCTGTGTTCTGTGCCTGTTGGTCATGTTTCCGGAAAGCACCTGAGCGCTTTGCAATCTTTAACCTCTTCTTGTAGCCCTCTGTGGCAGGCAAGGCCTGGTACTTCTGGAGCTCAGATGGGAAGCTGGATCTAATACAGAGCATGGAGAGTTGTACACTGGCTTGCAGTATAGCTGAAAAGACTTTAAGATAACCCAGTTTTACTTTGCCCTAAATGGAATCATGTTTCAGCCGAAAGGGACAGCAGTGAACAACTGGAGGAGGAGACCACCTTAAAATGCTGCTACAGTCATGCAAACATCTGCTTGTGCCTTAACTGACTTCCTAAAACTCAGCTAAGGCAACACCTTGGGCACTGCATCATTGCTCCACTGCATGGTGCTTGGCCCTCGAGCTGATGATGCAGCATGGACTAGTGAGAGCCCCTTGACGGAGAAGCCAAAGGACGCTGTGCAATGATGTATGAACAGCCTTTGCTCACAGGTAGAGCTGGCAGGACCTTGGTCACCACCTCCTGTTTGCTCACAGGGTCACAGAGGAGAGCTGTTGTTTCTCTGCTTTCCCTTTCTCTGAACAAGGTTGTCCTGGCTAGCCCTTTAGCACCTGAGCGTGTAGGTTGTTGCTGTCTCCCAAGCCCTTGCTAACACTTGCAAAGCAATGCAGGTACATGTCAGAACGCACCCGGTGCTGAGCAGGGTGCTGATGGCTTGTCTGTCCCTACAGGAGCTGCAACAGAAAAGGGCCCAAAAGGCTTCTGACGCAAAGCGCTTGGCAGAAGAAGAGCTTGCACTGATGAAGGAGAGCAGAAGGGCCGCAAAGAAAAAGCCTGCCAAACCTGCTTCTGCAAAGAATGTCAGTCCAGCCAACAGTGTCATCAAAGCCAATAATGCTGGTGAGTCCCTTCTGCAGGTTTCTGATGCTTTTGGAGAGGTGTTTGACATGAGGGGGAAGGAGGAGGATGGAGGGGCAGTGCTCATGAGGTGAGCTGCCTGAAGGGGGCTGGTTGTTAAAAACATTTGAAAACAGTCTGATTCCTGCAGATGCCAATTTCCACTCAGTTACTGCAGAGCCAGAAGAAAGCACCGTCGCAGACCTCAGCTCCATGCCTTCACAGGATCACGGGGCAGAGGACAAGTTGCAGGTGGGCCTAGCTTTGCCTCCTGGTGCTCCTGGCACCAGCTGTTCTGCTGGTGCAGCTTTGGAGCCTGGGTTCGCTTCTGGGGATATCCAGCAGACTGTTTTGCTGCAAAGTGTATGTCTTCTCCCCTAGGATGTGAGCTCCAGAGAGACAGGCAGAGAGGATCTGGAGATGGTGGTTACTGCTGCCAGCAGGGCTCAGTCCAAAGTCACTCTCAATGAGCTGCTGGACACCCTCAGGCTGCTGGAGGAAGAGCCAGAGCTGCTGCCCCAGCCGAAACTCTTCAAGAAGGACAAATATGCCTGGATAGATGGGGTAAGCAGAGGGCTGAGGCTGGTCACATCCACCCCTAGATAGAGTTGGCTGCCTTGTGAAAACAGGCCCTTCTCCAAGGGCTTCTTCCATCCAGCGCTTGCTGGGTTGTGGAGAGCAAGAAGGCCGAGAAAGGCAGCTGGTTGACTTCCTCTGGGAGTGCCAGTACAGGCAGCAGAAGAGTTTGGTGCAGTTGTGGCTTGGGCCTTCACAAGGAGGAGTGAAATTGTGCGAGGGCTGCAGTGGGAGAGGGCATGACCACAGAGGATGAAGACTGATCACTGGAGGACAGTGGGAAAACTGGGTTCCACTGGGTGCCTGCTGGGGAATAACCAACACCTTTTTTTCTGAGCCTTCCCCTTGGGGCTGTTGTAGTGCAGGGTGCCTTCCTTGTTAACTGCTGTGTCTGCCCAGCAGGAGCCGGACTCCAATTCCCTGACTGCTGATAACTTGGAGAAGTTTGGGAAGTTGAACCATTCGCCTGGGGTCCCTGAGGATGGAGCCCTGCTCTCAGAGGCCAAACTCCAAAGCATCATCAGCTTCCTGGACGAGATGGAGAAGTCTGAACAGGAGAGGCCCAGATCTGCTGCTTCGGTGACGCAGCGGGAGGTGAGTGCTGAAGCAAGAGGCCCTTTGTATTGGAGAGACGGTGTGCGACCCTGCGGGGAAGAGGGCTCTCTGCTTGTCCTGGTTCCAGGTGGTTCCCAGCTCCTTTTAATCCATTTTTTGTGTGACAGGGACTCCTCTCTGAAGAGGAGCTGGCTCACTTGGAGCAGGCATCAGTTGTTGCCACGGAAGTCACCAGCTCCATTATGAGGCTGAAGCTGGAAGTGGAGGAGAAGAAGCGAGCTGTCAGCCTGCTGCAAACAGCACTGGTGCGTAAGCCAGATGTGCTTGCTTGCTGGGGAGCGAAGGCCAAGAGCCCTTGACAGGTTATTCTTGGAGCAGTGTCTTTACAGCAAGAAGACAGCTTTGTGAGCGGGACTTACCTTCTGTGTCCCCAGCAGTGTTTAAGTACTGCCGTGCTCCTAGATCTAATGCGGAGGAGCCAGAGGGGCATGTTCTGCCTGGGTGTGGAGCAGTCTTAAGTTCTTCTTAGCGTGGGAAAGATGCCACGCGTGACCCTTTCAATTAATAAAGTTGTTCACTGCTGCTTTGCTGTGGTAAGCCCAGTTTGGTGTGGACTTCTCAGCTTTCTCCTTGCTGCCTGTCTGATTTGAAAATCATCTTCAAACTCCTCTCCTTGGCATATTCATGACCAGTCCAGAAGGCCCCAGCCAGGGCCTGTCTGTGTGATGCCCTTTTCTGGGCTGAACTCTCCTTTTCTCTGTCACCTGGGGGTTTTGCCTGCCCTGCTTGGCAGTAGGGCAGGATGTGGCAGGACCAGGCACTCTTTTCTTGTTCCTGGTTGGTCTGGCCCTCTGGCCCGACAGCGCTTTCCTGGTTTGATAGTTATCTCCTGTGTAGATGCCTGGGCTGGTGTAACATCTTCCTCTAATGTCTCATGGCTCTATTTCTCCCCTGTATCCAACAGGCTCAGCAGAGGGAACTGACTGTTCGGCACGTCAAACAGACCGAGAAGGAGCTCAGCCACCAGCTCAGGCTGCAGAGAGAACAGTATGAGGCCGCTATCCAGCGGCACCTGGCCTTCATCGACAAGGTAATCTCTCCTCCCAACTTTGATTCTTCTGAAGCCAGAAGCCAAGGGCCAGCAGAGGTGGCCGTACTCTGCCAGGCTGTCTGATGCCTTGTCTGTACCCTACCCAGCTCATTGATGATAAGAAGGTGCTGAGTGAGAAGTGTGAGGCCGTGGTAGCTGAGCTGAAACAAGTAGACCAGAAATACAGCAAGAAGATCGCCCAGATGCAGGAGGAGCATGAGCTGGTGAGGGCATGGGGAGGGTGGGGGTGCAGGAAGAAAAGACATGTTCTGATACTGCCATGGCAGGAATGGGACTGTACAGTCTTCTAACCCACAGGGGTTCATATGGGAGCTGGCTATGCTGGTGGCCCCTCCCCAGAGCGATATCATCTCTCATACTTTGGTGAGGCTCAGTTGTTCTGGTGAGCTGTGCCCCTTGCCCAAGAAGTCTATGTTATCTGCAGAGGTTTGCCCTGGCTACCCAGGAGGCTGCTGTCCTCTGCCAGAGGGCTTGCTGCCCCGAGCCAGGTGCGTGGGACTGACCAAGAGCCAGTGTCAGCTCCCAAAGGCACTGCTTGGGAAGAGCCTTCCCCCAAGTCCTGCTGTGGAGGGAGCTCTCCCCTAGTCAGGGAGGTGACCTGGGGGATTTCACTTAAGCCAGAGACAAAAGCAGGTGCTGGGACAAACTCGATGCCACAGAAGAACTTGTGCCTGTGGCCACATCCTTCTATGTGGAGTTGCTACCAAACCCCTTCACTGGATCTGGAATGCACAGAGCCAAATGGGAACAAGATTATAAAGGAACGTGGGATGCATCTTACAGATAAATAACAATAACAGACCTTTGTGGGTTTCACTGTGCTGTTTCTGAGGCCAGAACACACAAACACACAAAGAGCTGTTTTCACCATGAGCCTGTGCAGTGTGATTCATGCCTTGGGGCCTGTCTTCTCCGGGATATGCTGCCTGCTCAATGGGAACAGTTCCTCAGTCCATCCGCAGCTGGCTGCTGGCTTCCCTCAGGAGCGTGAAGAGAGCTCCCTCTTCTGTAGATGGAGACAGTTCGTTTCACTCTGTGCTGAACACTGAGCTGAGCTTGGCAGAAAGAGGCGGTGCAGCTGGCTCACAGCTCTGCTGCGGAGCTTATCCTAGCTCTGCTGCCCCAGTCCCTGTCCGCCCTTAGCCTTGAAGCTCTGTTCATGTCCAGGACTGCCTGGAGTGGAGACAGCCATTTGCACCGGTTTGAACCTGTTTTAACATGTACCCTAACAGAAAGTGAAGACTCATTTTGCCTTACTGTTTAAACCTGAGTTTTGAGTCCAGCTGGGAGGAAGGAGCCAGTGCAATATTGCTTCCTGCAGAGGTGTTTGCTGCTGCAGCCAGTGCAGACCCACTTCAGAGAATGGGCTCAGTGTAGTAGATGAGGTGCCTCCGTTATCTCTCACTCCCTGTTCAAAGCAGGGCAGCGGTGGTGGGAACGGCCTGGGAGCTGTGGAGGTGATGCAGAGAGAATTTCCTCCTCTCGTGGTTTGCTCTGAGGCCCCTTCACAGCCCTGCTTGGAGTGAGTTGGGCTCCCAGCTCTGCTGAGCGGCTCATTGCAGCATCTGGTTCCTTTGCATGGTGGGGAAGAACTACTGAGTAATGTTTTTCCCCATGGGGTCTCCTGCAGCAGGGCCTGTCCTTGTGGCTGGAGCCAACCCCCTGACCACACAGCACCCTCCTGGAGCAGAGCTGGCTCTGCCCTTGCCCTGGAGCTGCTATTGCCCTCAGTGCTGCCAGGCACTCGGTGCATCTGTGTGTTAACTACCCCTGCTTGGCTGCACCTCCTGCTCTCCTTGCCTCGACACATCTGCAACCCCCTTCCGTCTCTGCCGCAGCCCGGCTTTCTCGTGTGCACACCTCTGTTTGGTTTTGCCTCTCTTACCTCTCTCTTCTCCTCTTCCTTCTATGATTCTGTGATTCCCTTTCTCTTCCCCTCTCCTTCTTTCTTTCTCCTCAGGTCTGGCGCACTTTGGGCCCCTTTTGTGAGGTAAATGTGTTCTTTGCAATTTCTGTGCCTTGCCCCCCGCTCTCGCACGCTGACCTGCTGCTGCTGCTCTTTGGGCGGCAGGCAGCAGTACTGAGATGGAAATATGCCCCTGCACCCTAGGTCTGGGGAGGAAATGGGAGCTCTCAGCTTGACAGGAGAGTCAGCTCTGTGAAGGAACACCTTCACCCTATCTCCCCAGGTAATGGGCTCAACCACTGCCTTGGGGCTGTCCCTCTCCTCCAGTGCTGATTTTGCTGCTCTTCCCTGCCCTTTTTGCTTAAGAGAGCGCCACAGGCTGTGCTGAAGGCCACCTGATGTTCCCCATTCCTCTTTGCCCAGCAGCCAGGTAACAAACCATTGCATGTTCCTGCCACGCTTCTCATTTTTTGAAGCTGTGAGGTTTCCCCAGCGTGGTGGACGTTGTCCTCATCTGCCTCTCCCTGAAACTGAGCCATTTCTGGCCAGGCTTGTGCCTTCCATGGGCCAGTGGCTTTCTCAACAGAAACCCCATCGCAAAAGTATGTGGCTGATTGCTTCAACCTGCTTTTGCCAAAGAGAAGCCTGGAGAAGAGCTCTCTGAGCAGCAGGGCCTGAGTGCTTCAGCAGCCTTGTCACTTGATTAATCAGGCCCAGCCCTGAGGAAGGCTGGAGAGGTAAATGCAGGCAAAGGAAAAAGCGAGAGCAGTGGTTGTGCCTGGGCTATGCAGCCTTTTAGGGTCTTTGGAAGAGCCTTGTGGCACTGCAGAAACTTGGTCTGTGGTGATATTGCAGTGTTCTTGAAAAGGTGTATCTCTCTGTCCTCCTTGGGGGCCTTCTACCCACACCCTAAGCCAGGGAGAAGGGAAGGTTGGGGAAGGAAGTATCTTCAAATATGACTCCAGATCCAGCCTACAGACAGACTGCTCTGCATGCAACCATCTGCTCTCAGAGGAGCATCAGAGGCCTGGAGTTCCCGTCTCTTCTCCAATAGGTGTCCTCATTTGTCAGCCACTTCCAGCAGGCCCTTTTCTAAGGGTTTTGCCCTTTTCCCCCATGCTCAAGTTCTGCAGGGCGGCAGCAGCAGCCCAATCTCACAAGGGAGGAAAAGGCACTGGGGGAGTATACATCTAGTTCACTGAACTGGGGAGAACATGCCTGGCCAGGGCTGTTTGTGTGCTCTGCGTGCAGCTGTGGTCATCCGCTCTTGCCTACAACTTCCTATTCAACAGCCGAACTCCCAGGCTGATACGAGTTTTTTCTCCCCTACCTTGTCTCTGAAGTTTTCTGTTTTGTTTCCAAACAGGAGATCAAGAAACTCAAGGAACTGATGAGTGCAACAGAGAAAATAAGGCGAGAGAAGTGGATGGATGAGAAAACCAAAAAGATCAAAGAAATCACTGTGAAAGGTATAGGCACGTGCCCTCAGCTGTGGCCTGGAGATGGGTGGGTGTAGGTATCATCATATCTGTGCTGTTCCCAGGACAGGGACCTTTTGTGTAATAAGGTGCTGATACCTCTGGGAAGGTATTCAGTGGGGGCAGTCTCTGCTCCTTGTGTTCGGTAGAGACAGATGCTCTCTCCTTTCCTTACCAGCCTTCTCTTTACTCAGGTAACATGTTCATGGTCTCCTCACCAGCTAGTTAGGGCCAAGAGATCTATGCCTGGTGTTTGCATGCAGACGGCCCCAAGGCTGTGTGGTAACTGTCCTTCCCTGCTGTCCCAGGGCTGGAGCCAGAGATCCAGAAACTCATCGCCAAACACAAGCAGGACATCAAGAAGCTGAAGATGCTGCACGAGGCAGAACTGCTGCAATCTGATGAGCGGGCAGCCCAGCGCTACTTCCGTCAGGCAGAGGAGCTGCGGGACCTGCTGGAGCGTGAGAAGGAGGAGCAGAGCCAGCGGGAGAGGGAGCTGGCCCGGCAGCGGTATGTTGCAGCAGAAGTGAGCACAGTTCGGAGCTGGACAACGTGGAGGGTGGTGTTCATCATGTGACAGTGGGTTTGTGACGTGTTCAGCAGTTAGTATCCGCATAAAACAGCCCCTTCTCCCTCCACCAACCCTGAGGTGCCAGATGCCAGTGAACCAGGGACTTGGGTGTCCTCTACAGTCAAACTGGCCCCTGGTTGGCCACGGGAAGGGTGGGATGGTGGGATGGGGCGGGGAGAAGACAGGCCACTGCAGTGCCACCATACTCGTGAGAACCGGGGGCAAACGCCCCAAGCCAGACAGATCCCTGAGGCTTCTCTGCCCCCATAGGTGTGAGAAGCACCTGGAGCAGGAGGAGCAGGCGCTGCAGCAGCAGCGACGCCGGCTCTACGCAGAGGTGACAGAGGAGAAGGAGCGGCTCAGCCAGCAAGCGGCAAGGTGAGAGGGCTGGGAGCAGGCCCAGTGCAGTATCCGTGTGGCTGGGTTGCATGGTAGCTGCCAGCTCTCATTGGGCAAGTTGCCTGAGGATTTGGAGCAGTCCTGAGCTTAGAACAGTGGGGCTGGTTTCCCTGGGCAAGGCTCCCTTGGGAAGAGGGGTGGTACTCAAGAGGGGCCGAGGTGGAGCAGCCTGAGAAGATCACGGCTGGACAGTTGACGTTGGGCCAGCCACGGACGTTAAAAGCTGTGATCTGTCTGTGGGCAGGCAGAGAGCAGAGCTGGAGGAGCTGAGGCAGCAGCTGGAGGCGAACCAGCTCTCTTGTCACAAAGGCACTGAAGGCGGAAAAAACGGCATCAGGTCTGTTTTTCCCCTTACCTCTGAGGTGTCCCCTTGCTGGGCCCTGGCTTCCGGTGCGTGCAAGCTTGCCGTACTTGTGCACAGGCAGTGCAACTGCCAGTGCATCGCTGCAGCCCTGAGCTGCATGCACGGGGCTGGGACTGGGGCTGTATTACCACATGCTGGCTCCACTGCACAGCCTGGTGGCAGTGTTGGTACCTTCCACTAGAGCTGTGTGAGCGAGGGCTGCTCCCATCAGCAAGTGTGGGGTGCAGGGGCTGGCAGAGCTGGGCAGGTGCTGAGCGTTTGCCACTCTCGCTCGTCTCTCTGTAGGCAGAAGTGAAGGTGCTGAAGGACCGGCTGGAGATTGAGAAGCAGGCCTGGGAGGCAAACTACATGAAGAAGGAGGTAACAGCTAGGGCTGGTCTTCTCTGAAGGTGTCACCCTTGGGGCTCAGAGGGGACTTGAGGCAACATTTGCCATCTCTGTCTCTGTCCCCAGGAAGCCTGGCTGCTCTCCCGGGAGCGGGAGCTGAGGGAGGAGGTGAGGAAGGAGAGAGACAAAGAGATCGAGTTGGTAATCCAGCGCCTGGAGGCCGACATGTCCTCCGCCAAGGAGGAGTGCGAGAGGGCGGCAGAGAACAGGTGGGGAGGGAGTGGGTGGACTGAACCTGCAAGTTCTCACTCCTCGAGGGCTATTTCCCTTCCCCACATCCCCTGAAGCTGTCCAGTGAGCTCTGGAAACGATGGGATTGTACTGCCCTAGACTCCACATTTCTCTGACAGAGTGCCAGGAGAGCACCCCAGCAGAGGAATAGGGGAGCAGAGTGACAAGCAGTGAGATGAGCTCCATGCTGCCCCACGAGAGGCAGCTTCCCCTCCTTCAGTTTCTAGCTAGATCTGTAATGGCCTCTGCCCAGTGGTTTCCTTCACACTTTGCTGTGTTGGCCTTTTCTGCATTTGGCCTGAAGTCACGGGCTGCCTTTGTGCATTTATTCTACCCACTAACTGCTCTGTGCACATCTACCTGTGCATGGGCGTGGTTAGCTTGTGCAGCGTTGTGCAGGAGCGCTGCAGTGTGCAGATCCAGGGCAGTGTTAGCTCAGAAAGGAAGAGTGGGCAGGGATGAACGTTTACTCCCTCCCTTACTGAATAGCAAAGCACGTGCCTCATCAGCGCTCTTTGCTCCAGGCCCAAGAGGGTGACACAAACCCAGGAAAGCAGAAAGTGATATGGCAGCGGCCAGCCTTATCTAGACACAATACCTGGCTTTTGCACGCTGCTTTGCACCCGCTTGAAGGGTCTACTTGTGGGAACAGAGCAACTTTCATTGATTTCTCCTCCAGGGACCCCAGTGGCTGCCCTCTTGCAGCCTGGTCTCCTTGGCAGCCAGCTCCTCTCGCCCGTTCTCAGGGTGAGGGGAAGGTCAGGACAGATTGAAAGGAACCTGCACATGTTCAGAGCCTGAGAGCTGACAGCCACGCAGAGCAGGGAGCCTGTCTGTGCGCGGTGAGAACAGCCTGGGGTCCTATGAATGTCAACAAGAACACTTTGAACAGGGCACTGCTGCCTTCTCCAGGCCAAGGACAGTCTTACTGTGTAAAGAGCCCTGGACCTCCTGTGGGGCAAATCACGCCGTTGCTGCTGTGTTGTGGTTGCTCCTGCAGTGCAGAGGAGGCTGGGGATGGCCCCAGTGTGTCTGCTGCACTAGGCTGAGCTGGGCTGCCTGTTCTTTCCTCGCTTTAGGATTAAGAGGATCCGAGACAAGTATGAGGCAGAGGTCCAGGAGCTGGAGCGATCTGAGCGGAAGCTGCAGGAGCGCTGCAATGAACTGAAGGGGCGGCAGGCTGAGCTGGAAGGGGAGAGCCTTCGTCTGCAGGGCCTGGTGAAGCACAAGGAGCAGGAGGTGGAAGAGATAAGGAAGGTGAGTGGAGAGCAGAGGTCGGAGGTCTGGCTCCTCTCCCTGCTCTGTGCCCGGACTGGCACTGAACCCCTTGCAGCACTCTGTGCCCATCAGCAGCTTGATTTAACCTCTGCCCTGCCACAGGTGAGGGACCAGCTGGCCCAGGAGCGGAGCAGCCTGGCAGAAGTGATCCGCCAGGAATTTGCTGACAGGCTAGTGGGGACAGAGGAGGAGAACAAGCGGCTAAAGGCAGAGATGGCAGAGATGAGAGCTCGGCATCGCCTGGAGCTGGACAGGGTAGTGCGGGAAAAGGATGAAGAGCTGGAGGAAGTTCACAGGAGGTGAGGCTGTCTGGCTTGGCTTCGTGCTGGGCTGCCCCAGGCTGGGCTCACAGCTGGGGCAGTGGATGCAGAGCTAGCCCAGGTCTGTTGCAAGAATGCGTCCGCAGCGTTGCATCCTCAGGTATTGTTTCCAGTCCTGGCAGGGTGAATACGGGAGCAAGGTCACCTCAGTTGGCTACCTGCTTTGCCACCATGAATCCTCTGGCCTTTGTGGTGACTTCTAGTCTGTTCTGTGTCCTCCTGTCCCCAGGGCTGCTCCCTTGTGTGCCTGGAGGACATGCAAAGGCCTGACTCCGTCTAGTGATGAGTGAGGAGACGGTGCTGTGAACTGGGCTGAGCATCAGATCATGCAGCGGATTTAATGCGTCCTCTCTTTCCCTTGAGTCTGCCTGTGGGGGAGGGATTTTGCAAATGAAACAAGAATCTGAACTGGAAGCAAATCTCTTGCAAGAGCTCTCTCTGCGTGGGTACTGAGTGCTGTAATAACTGCTTTAGCATAGTACAGACCCATCTCTGTGGCATCTGTGTATAGAGCTGTTCAGCAGTAGCTGTAATGAGCTGCTTTTGTATGAGCAAACTGTCTTCCCCAGAGCCAGCCAAGCGATTCCCACTTGCTCCAGGAACCAGACTCATACCCTGACCCCAAGATAACAAGGGTGTCCCTTCCCCTTCCATCCTTTGCCTACAGCCTGGCAAAGGTTGAAATCCAGAGTCTGGTGCTCTGAGAGCTGTGGGGAGAGGGTTACAGCAGGAACCATGGGTTTGAGAAACGGGAAGAAACTTGAAGTAGCTCCCCTGTTACCCTGTTAATGAAGTCTTTTGAAGTTAACGTCCCCGTCTTACTACAGATTACTTGATCCAAACTACGTAATGCTCACCAGTGAATAAAGGCACCCTGAACTGCAGAGCAGCTGTTCTTTGGCTTCGTGCAATATTTGCTGGGGTGGGACGATGCTGTGGAGAGGAATGAGGGGCTGCAGTTCCTTGGGCTGTCTTTAGCCTTGCTAAAATCCCCACCCGGTGGCAAGGGGCAAGCCTGGTGTTTGGGGCCTGGGCATCAGGGACAAAAGACTCAGCCCCTTTTTTGTCCGTCTGCTCAGGGTGAAGACAGCCATTGTGAAGAAGGAAGAGAGCGTGAACAGCCTTCGGAAGCAGTATGAAGTAAGTGAGCGGGGCTGCGGGTGGCATGGGCCCCTGCTCTGGGTGCCTGTCCTGCCCCATGGAGCTGCAGCTCTGCTCCCAGGACACAATTAACTCTCCTCGCTCTCCCTGTGGTCTGTTCCAGGTGGCTGTGAAGAGAGCTGACCACCTGGAAGCCCTTCTAGAGCAACAGCGAAAACAGCTGCTGGCTGCCAAATAAGTGTCCTGCCATGCAGGGGCTGCCGTTCTGTGGCACGTGGCCAGATGGGGTGAGGGTGCCCTGGGGATGCCCACTGGACACGTGCTCTGTGTGAGCTGATGCCGATGTATGCGCATAGGGGATGTGTGTGTGCACGGCTGGGCTGGGCTTCCCTCACGTGTGCTGTTGGTGGTTGTTTTTGTTTTTGTTTTGTTTTGTTTTTTTCATTTACAACCTCTGTGACTTGTGCCTCGGTCCGTGACTCCTGCTAGGGGCACTGAGCAATGTTCGAGTTTTCTGTGGTCGTATTTTAACAATAAAATTTGTGCTGATTTCTACATCCATTTCTGTTTAATCTGTATCCCCTGAGGAAAGGGAAGTCTCTGTGCCATTGGCATCCATGCCTTTTTCTTACATGCTAGTGCATTTGTCCCTGTTCTGTGTGGGACAGAGGGGCATGAGCTGCTCTTACTCACTGTGTGACCAGGCAGCAGACCCTCCCTAGCTGATGTCCTGGATCCAGAGCCTTTTCCCATGGTGGAAGGCGTGGGACCTGCGAGTCAGGGCTGAGCCAGACAGGCAGAGGTGGGAGAGAGGAGACCGTTCTTTTGAGCAGTTAGAGGTTTTTCAAGTCAGGACCTCTGTTCTGGCATCTGAGCTGAGCAAGCCCCCTGCCCAACCAGCAGTGAATGTGGCCTCTGGAGATGCACAGGTGCCCACCTCCCTTCTTTTTCTCAGCTGTAGCCTGTTAAAAGCTGGGGGGGGG